TTTTCCAATAACAATCATTTTTTGGTATAACTATAATATTAGCCATTCAAATATAATATTGTGATTATATATATATATATATATATATATATATAAATATATATATATTATAATAAAGACAAATAATATACTCCACATAAGAACATTTATTGGACATTCAGTTGGATTTAAGACAATAGTCTTGTCTTATAGACATATATAGCATAGTTTATTTTGCAAGATCATTTTAGCAACCTCTTTGTTTCTTCTCAAAATATTTTCTTTTATTTAAAAAATCCTTTATTTATTATAACTAAAACTAATTTTGAGAATTCTAATTCTTCCTTTGGCCCAACACTTCTAAATACCTTACGTCTCACCCGATGATATTTGATGATACCTATATTTAAAATTTGCTATGATAAGAAATGTTACTAACTATATTACTCCACAAAGGGAGACTATTTCGTAAAACAGAGTTGACATTGTTATATTCCTATTATTAATATAAACTTTAATAACAAATAGCTTAGTCCAATCATAAAACAGACAGGCCTCACTATATCAGATATGTTCTTTTCCAGATGACGTCATCATCTTCTATAGGCTAAAACCTTTTAGACTTGTTTAATGTAGCTGAAGTGTCGCAATACTTTGGTAGAGCCTCCATCCAAAAGTCAACCATGAGAAATTCAGAGACATAAGGTAGACCCTTTTAATTTTCAAGAGCTAAGAGAGTTTTCTTTATCTTATAACAAATAAGGCAATGAAATGTACAAATGAAAATATGAACGACATTCCTTCTTAATCCTATTGAGTCAAACCCCATTGTTCAAACATGTCTGCATTTTATCACTCTGCAATTTAAATTCAAAATTTGTTGTTTAAATTGTCCAAACTTAGTCCATTCTGTTAACCCAATCAGCCCAAAAAGCATTGACATATATTGTTAGGTTTTAGAGCAAATTAAAAAGGCCAATGGTTATACCACTCGTGTTCAGCAAGAAAATTGACAATTTACTAACTCACTCTTCACCATTGCATTTACCGGGAAAATGAGTTAGCTGAATTGTAAATGGTCAAAATTAGTTAGTTAAAAATAACACATTAGTCATCAAAATTAGGTTGTAAGCTGACAACTGCCCAAACATTATAAGACTAAATTACCACCCATGAGACTATAATTAAGGCAACCCCCAAAGGCTACAACCAAGGCAAGGTAGGGTGACTGCAATTAAGGTGGCTTTCCAAACAGTGATATATTTAGATTCACTTTGCGGAGTAGATTTTAGAACATATATTGCAGACATACATGTTAGACATCTTTAGAAGTTGAATACCAGAATAATTAGGAGAAACTAGAACTTTTAAAGAAGAACCTGCATATTGTTGGTCATGTGAGTTGATAACACATGGTTGTGTAGATATTAGTCTTTCCACCATGGAAGGAATTAGGAAGGGAATGGTGGAGAGGTATACTGCCGTAACGATCAAACCTATGCTTCCAGACCCTGTTGCACTTAGCCGTGCAAAAGTTATTTTCAGTAAACTGAGCAGGGAGGGGAATATTGTTAGATACTTGGCCCAAATTTCAACAATTGGTTAGTAAAAACAGACTCAATAAGTCCACGAAAATACCAGTTAGTTACAAATTACAATAGTGGATACTAGATAATGCACATAAGGAGCAGGAGTGAGATACTAGAAGCTAGGTTTAGACTTGGAATAGGAATTTGGGGAGTAGGGGTGATAATAGAAAGGGTTTGCATAAAGTACTACAATATTCATCCCTATACCTGCATTGTAAAACAATACTTATCTGAACTCATATATTAACAATTTCAAAACCTATACTTTTACCATACTTATATACTACCTGGATCTACTACCTATATTTTAGTTAATTTGAATGCATTCATTAGTCATTTGATTGACAAACTAATAAAAAACAAATAAAAGAGCCTTAATAACACTCTCTGATACACATTTTATTATTAGTTGAAATTAATTAATAATTACAAAATCAGTAAAGACTCGTTAAATAAGTGAAATTTTAATTTTTTTTTATAATTTTTAGATTTAAATATTTTTTTAGTTCCTATAATTTTCCTTACTTTATTTTTTAGTTCTTATAATTTAAAATAAACATTTAGTCTGTATACTTATCCTTTTCAATCCTTATAATTTATGATAAATCTTTTTAGTCCCTATATTTTGTAGTTTTTTAATCATTTTAGTATTGTTAATTTTCTTATAACATTGTCTATTTTGTGTTGAGGTAGTAGAGGTTTCCAATTTTGTGAGAGTAAAAAAAAAGTGCCTCAATAATAGACGTCTTAAATAAGGGTACAAAAGAGGTATAAAGTGTTGAGAAACCTAATTTAAAGTAAATTCAGCAAGATAATTCGACTTCAGACACACAAAGTTGAATTAATATATTTATCATGTCAATGTAAAAGAAACAATGTTACAAAAAAATTAATGATCACTAAAAGGATTAAAAAATTGCAAATATCGGGACTAAAAAATCTATCTTAAACTATAATCACTAAAAAAGATTAAAAAAAATATAAAGACTAAAAAGATCTATAAAGACAAAAAATATTTAAACCATCATTTTACAATTTGATTTGACCATTCACTAAATAACTGGATAAACTGGCTTGTGATCTAAACCATTGAATATTGTATCCGCAGACAGGTTTTTTAGTACGAGTTGATCTCATTCTATCATTGTTTAAACTCACCTGCATAGTATTAGCCCTATATGTAGTAACAATATTATGAACTGTAATTTGACTAAAACAACAGGATAGAAGTATAAGTCGACTAGGTTTTAGGGAGAACCAAAAAGGTACTATTTCAATGCCTGGTAAGAAAATGCAGTTTGTAAGGAACTTTTCAGCCTCACAATTTGTACCTGTCTGAGGGCACACTCCTTTTCTTCTGGGTGAAAGGGGACCGAATAAGAGCTCCAACGATATCTCCAAGGGATGGGGGAGGTACCTGCAAAGGGTACTCCGACGCTCAAGTCAGTATATGCACGAATATCTAGGGTAAAAAATGAACAGTGACATACCTCGTTATGTGTGACCTATTTATAGTGCCTGACGTGGGCCTGAGCATTGTGGGTCTTTGCAGGTGTTTACTAAATTAGGTAATACGATGTTAATTACTTACTTACTGACTTAACCATGCGCTTACCTGCTAATCATAATTAATAGCCGTCCTTCACCTATCGGTACGGTATTTCGCCGATCCGATAGGTAAAGGGATGGGGCGCTATTATTAATTGGGTTGATCAACAGTTGTCTGACTATCTTGCCCTACGGGGGACTCTCCGGCTCGGTCTTATGCCGAGCCTTTAGTAACATTCGTCTCGGACGTTGGCTGGACCGATGTTTCCGACATCATGGCGTAGGTGTCTGACAGAACGGCACGTGTTGGTCAACGTGACCGATAGGGACCTTCCGGTACA